GACGATCTCTTCATCACTTCCTTCGACACTATGACTCACCAGGCGTCTCTCTCTCTCTCTCTCTCTCTCTCTCTCACACACAGTTCCGAACTCTAGGCGGAGGAGAAAACGGAGTAGAGATGGTAGTGGTATCTAGCCTTCACAGACGATGGAGAAGATGAAAATGGTCACAAAGAAGATGAAGACGAAGATAATGATTGCTAAAATCTGTTGGAATATGAACAACAAATGGCAAATCTAGGTATATATTATTTTCAATTTTGTTCATATTCTGAGATCATGACATTTCAAGTTATGAAATTGCTTGTTGACATGTATTGAAATTGTTGAAATTTTTTTTGTTGAATTTGTTTGAGATTTTGTTGAGATTTATTGATTGGTGTTGACTGATTCTGTAAAAAAAAAATAAATAAATAAACCTTTGTCGATTTTGGGTAAATTAAAAAAATTATTGAAATTTTTTTTTTGGGTGAATTCTAATAAAAAAATGGTGAAACAAGTTTCTGTTATATTTGTTTTGCTGGGAGGGAGGGTGGGAAACAGTTGGCTTTGGCTGAGTTGACACAAATGGCAGCTGCTGAAGCTTATGTCAAATTTGACACAAGCTTTGGCATTTGTCAAATTTTGCAGCTATCATATTCAACCGTTAGAGCATCATTTTTCAACACAGCTACTGTATTATGGCAATGACAGCGCCAATGGAAAACCATTAGAGATGCTCTAACACCAAGACCTAATATATATTATTTAGAACTCATATCCATTTAAAAGGTTAGATCTAATGGAGAGAGTCCCTTCAATGTATATTAAAACCCACCCATTTTACTTTTTATTCGATATGAAACTTTGCCTTCACAAATAGGGCTCTTTTGGGAAGTGCAAAAAAAACCAATTTGTTAACTTTTTGACTTATTTGGGTCACATATGTTGGAATTTTAATATTGAATATACACATCATATTCAATATTATGTTGAATAATAATGTAACAATGTATACCAAACTCTTATATTCAATATTATGTTGAATAATAGTGTAACAATATATACTAAACTCCTTTATATAGAAAAAGAGAAACCAAAGTATGGTAATCTTAAGTATGGTAATGAAATATAATATGATATGTATGATAAACAGAATATATAATTACTATATTTAACAATTATAATAATGTAATGATTAAATGTTATGTATTAAGATTTTCACTTATATTCTTGTGTTTTCTAATGACGGAAGACACATGAGTGACACATAAGAGACACACAAGAGTCTGAAGAAACTAAGAACTTCTTTTATTATTTAATTTTCAGAAAAATACACCAGAGAATGAATTACAATGCTGTATTTATAAACTTGTAAGTAGTTACTAGTTTGTTACAATGGAGTGATAGTTATAACTAAATGGATGAGGTGGAATTAACTTCGAGAAGCTTCTTTCCACAGCTGGAATAACAGAATTAGTTAGAGCAGTGTTTTCTTGCAGCAGCAGTTGTACCAGAATCTGTTGAAGCAACAGTGGTACTGCTAGCAGGTGAAGCATCAGTGGTATTGCTCACTTCAATAGTCCCCTGCAAGCTGATGGGGCAATCAAGAACCATGAGCTTGGACTTGAGATATTGAAACCGAGATACGCTGACAGGTTTAGTAAACAGATCAGCAAGCTGATCCATAGTTGGAATGTATTGCAACTGAAATTGCTTAGCCAAAACCTTATCTCGGACAAAATGACAATCGATTTCGATATGCTTGGAACGTGAGTGGAACACGGGATTGGAAGCTAGAGCCATTGCAGAGAGGTTATCACACCAGAGTATGGGTGTAGTAGGGGAAGCAATACTCATTTCAGTGAGCAGCATGGAAATCCAACTTAACTCAGCAGCGGTATTTGATCTTCATCATCTCAGTCACACACAGCCTTATCACAGTTCTGATCAAATCACAGTAGGTAATGGCACTACAGTTCCCATTCACAACACTGGTAAGGGACTGCTTCCTACACCTCATTGTTCTTTTCGTTTGAATCATGTTTTACATACACCGTCCATTTCCTCTAATCTTCTGTCTGTTCACAAATTTACTAAGGACAATAATTGTCTCATTACCTTTGATGATTCTAAATTTGTGATTCAGGACAAGGATTCGAGGAGAATTCTTCATCAGGGTTCTAGTACTAATGGTCTATACCATTTTTACTCTCCTTCTTCATCCATGCAGCCTGCTGACCATCATTCTTACTTTACTACATCACAGACATCTGTTTCTTCCTCTATTTGGCATAATAGATTAGGCCATCCTTCCTTAGTGAAGTATAATCATCTAAAACCATTGTTGAAAGTTTCCCAGAATAAAATGGACTCTGCTTGTACTGATTGTTGCATAGCTAAAAGTCATAGACTTCCATTTCAATTGTCTAATACTACTGTAAATGCTCCTCTTTCTCTTATCCATAGTGATATATGGGGGCCATATTCTTCTACATCTGGTTATAAATACTACTTACTTTTTGTGGATGACTTTAGTCGATTTACCTGGCTTTTTCCATTATCTTATAAAAGTGAAGTATGTGACAAGTTCATAGAATTCAAAGCTTATATTGAAAACCAATTTCATACTTCATTAAAAATTCTGCGAACTGATGGTGGATCTGAATATTTTACTAATAAAATGAAGACCTTCTTGAGTACTCAAGGTGTTATTCACCAACACTCTTGTCCTCACACTCCTTCTCAGAATGGTATTGCTGAGCGAAAACATCGGCATATTACTGAAACTGCTACTGCACTTCTTCATCATGCATCTGTGCCTTTACAATACTGGTTTGATGCTGTTGCTATTTCTACTTTTCTTATTAATAGACTTCCCTCTTCTAAGCTTGGCCATCAATCTCCATTTGAAAAGCTTTTTCAATACACTCCTGATTACTCTTATTTTCGCATATTTGGTTGTCAATGCTTCCCTTGGCTTAAGCCTTATCAGCCTCTCAAGCTACATCCTAAATCTGTGTCCTGTGTTTTTCTGGGCTATCATCATTTTGCTAAAGGATATCGATGTCTTGACCCACTCACTGGTAGAGTCTATTTATCTCAACATGTGGTCTTTAATGAGCACGTGTTTCCCTTTGCTCATCTGACTTCTTCTATATCTTCTCAATCCTCTTCAACATCTTTACCAACCACATTACCTGAGATTCATTCTTTTTTCTGGCCTTCTTTCTCTTCTTCTACTGGTTCTCAGATTCTCGCTCCTGCAGTCCCAAATTCTGCAGTTCCCGATTCTGCAGTTCCTTCTGTCCCAGTTTCTGTTGTTCCTACTTCAGTCCCAAATTCTGCAGTCTCAGATTCTGCAGTTTCTTCTGTCCCAGTTTCTGCAGTTCCTCCTTCTTCTTTACCCACACCTGTAGTTCTTATTCAGTCTATTTCTATTGAGTTACCTCCTCTACCTCTTTCTCAGTCTAATCAGCATCCTATGATTACCAGATCCAAATCTGCTGCACTGTCCTCCTCACTGTTTGCTTGCTTCCTCTGCCCAGCCTCAGTTTCCTACACTACTACTGAACCTCCTTCTTACAGAGAAGCTTTGCTGTCTCCTGTTTGGCATCAAGCTATGCTTGATGAATTGACTGCTCTTCAACAACAATATACATGGTCTTTAGTGTCTCTTCCATCTAACAAATGCCATCGGCTGTAAATGGATTTTCAAGATTAAACGAAATTCTGATGGCACTATTGCAAGGATAAGGCACGATTGGTTGCTAAAGGGTACCTGCAGCAAGAGGGTATAGATTTTCATGAGACTTTCAGTCCAGTGGCTAAGCAACCCACTATCCGAATCTTACTTTGTCTTTGCTCTTCACTATCAGTGGTCACTTAAACAGTTAGACATTTCCAATGCATTATCTCCCATGGCCGTCTTGACGAAGAAGTATTCATGCTTCAGCCTCCAGGTTTTGCAGATTCTTCTTCACCTAATCAAGTATGTAAACTACACAAGGCATTATATGGGTTGAAACATGCACCACGCGCTTGGTATTCCACATTTCTCAATACTTGTTGTCTCAAGGCTTCATTAATAGCAAGAGTGATTCTTCTTTATTCATTCAAAAGACATCCACTTCAGTCACTTATCTGTTGGTTTAATGTCGATGACATCTTGATCACTGGTGATAGCTCTTTCTCATATTCAATCTCTCATTACAAAGATGCACAGCGTGTTCTCCATGAAGAAGGAATTGGGTGACATCGCTTATTTTCTTGGTATTTCAGTCCAGCCTACCAGCTCAGGATATCTATTATCTCAGTCTAAATAGCCAAAGAAATTCTGCTTAAAGCTAGCTTGTCATCTTGTAAGTCTTGTCCTTCACCCATTTCAGTCAAGCCTAGTGTTCCTCCAAATGCTGCTTTACCATTTTCTGATCCAGCTCTTTATAGAAGTATTGTTGGTGCCTTAACAATATCTCACCATTACCAGCCAGATCTGTCTCTCTCTGTTAACCAGGCTTGTCAACATATGCATGCCCCTACCTTGGAACATTTTGCTGCCGTGAAGAGAATTCTTAGATATGTTCAAGGCACCATCACTCATGGCTTGTCTTTCTCCTCCAGTACTTTTTGATGTGCATGGGTATTCCCGATTCCAATTGGGCAGGAGATGTTCTTGATAGAAATCAACGACTGGTTACTGTGTTTTCTTGGGGTCCAATTTGGTCTCTTGGTCTGCCAAAAGCAGGCCACAGCTTCTCGCTCCTCCACTGAAGCTGAATATAGAGCTTTAGCAAAATACCGCTGCTGAGTTAGTTGGATATGAAGAAACTAAGAACTTCTTTTATTATTTAATTTTCAGAAAAATACACCAGAGAATGAATTACAATGCTGTATTTATAAACTTGTAAGTAGTTACTAGTTTGTTACAATGGAGTGATAGTTATTAACTAAATGGATGAGGTGGAATTAACTTCGAGAAGCTTCTTTTCCACAGCTGGAATAACAGAATTAGTTAGAGCAGTGTTTTCTTGCAGCAGCAGTTATACCAGAATCTGTTGAAGACAACAGTGTACTGCTAGCAGTGAAGCATCAGTGGTATTGCCTCACTTCAATAGAGTTCACATGAGTATAATATATATTGAGATTTTGTTGAAGAGTATAGTTTGATCTATTCTTTTGTATTTTTCGCAACTATGGTTCGTGACTCGTTCATAGCCTTTTTGGTGGACGTGAACATCGAATGAGGAAGACTCTGAGAGCTTTGGGTTGTATCTTGGAGCCATTGTACTGCGGTTGTACCTTCACATGGGAAAGAACAACAAGCTTAGGGCAGTAACTATGCGCTTCTCAATCTACACGGCCAACTCTTTCATACTCTATATGAATTTACGTACTTTATTATTTATTTCATAAATCTCTTAATGATTTATTATTAAATTATATTAGTGCATAACATTTTTCTAACAATCTAAAGCCGTTGTGTTCTAAAAGAAGAAATTTTATTTTAAGATTTTTCAAGTTAAAAGTAAATCAGTGTGTTTGATTTCAGTTTTGTTGAATCTAATTTTTTGAAAATTTAGATTTTGTTTTTCGTATTTTTTTCGTTTTAGTGAATATTTTTCAAATTTTTAAGCAGTTTTTAAAAAAAAAAGTTTTGTGCAAATATTTGTGAAAAAATATTTTAAAAATTAATAAATACAACAAAAATATGAAAAATATACTGAATTTTTTATATTTTGGTATTTAAATGAATTTTTAACGATTTTTGTTCACGAATATTATACTTTTTAGATGTATTTATGGTTAAGTGTTGTCTAAAAAATTTAAAAAAATACTTAAAATATTAAAAAAAAATATGAAAAAAAATACAAAACGAAAAAAGGTAATTTTTTAAAAAAAATAAATTCTGAAAACTGAAATCCAAATAAAATAATGAATGAATGTTATAAAATGTGTTGAGCTTATTTTAAAGATTAAATAAAACTCAAATTTGTCAAATTAAAAATGCATATATCTTATATTTGCACCCTGCATGTTTCAGTACATGGTAAATTCTTTAGATTAATGGCTTATTCGTGCTCAATGTTGTTTTTATGTTGCCCGCTTATGTTTATATGAATAAATAAAAAAAACCTTAATTTTTGGCTTAATTTTTTTTCCCTATTATCTGACTTATATTAAAAATATTTTCTAAATTAAAACAGTGGAATTGCATAATATAGCTATTATCCTATAATATTTCTAATTTGGTTGCTAAATGGGTACATGGAATTTGTTGCATATATAATTTACCATTACTTTGTGTAATAGATTAGCATGTGGCTCGATGAAGATTATGTGTTTGGATCTTTAATGTTATTTATAAAGATTTATTGAAAATAAATTTGCCAAATTAATTGGTTTAAATTTGTTGACTAAACTATTGGAATGTGAGACTTATTACCATTGGAAGCCTATTTGATAATTTATCACTTTGATGAATTTATCAGTTTCTTGTTTTTTTGAATAAATTTATAGTTGATAATTTATTAGTTTCTCATTTGTTTTTTATGAATAATTATAGGTATAAATTTATCAGTCTGCTTATTTTTATGAATTAAATTTATCAATTAGGGACCTGTACGTAAATAATGTTGGAAATTTATAAAGATGTATGTTTGCGAATTGAAATAACCTCCATTTTTGAATGAAAGGGGACCTTTCTGGTGTCTTTTTGTTTTAAAGGAAGGGCAAACCTCAATTTGAATGAAATGTGCAAACCGTGTCATGGTGTCTCGTTTATTTTAAAGGAGGGTTATGTCCCTTTTCATACCTTTTCTATTCAAATTGAATAGCGTGCCAACAAAGCCTATATAAAGCAGCCCCATTCCAATTGTGATGGATTCCGAAAAATTCATTTTTCCTGCCTTCGATTTTTCTCTCTTTGCGTCCTTTATTTTTCATTATTATTTTAGTGTAATTAAAGAGAGCTAATAGATCACAGGTTTTGGTTCGCCAACAATTTATTTAAAGTGCTTCTATAATTTGTGAAGGATCCATTGTATACTGGATGATAGACGCCATTCAATCGCTATAGCACCGTTAGCGGAGGCAAATCTGTACTAAAGACAGAGGTCACACACTCGATTCAATAAATAAAAATCCGGTATGTATTTATTATTTTGTTTGATTTTATTTTCAAGTTTTTTTATTTACACAGAAGATTGTTTTCCCAAAAAAAACCAAAATTTTTTTTTCTAAAAGGGGGACAAAAATTCGACATTATTCTGTTTACAGATTTTTTCGTTTGTTTCCTTTTTTTTTTTTCATTCGTCGTTAAATAACTTCGGAAGAAATTATTTTCTGTGGATTTACAAAATAATATTTTTGTTGGAAAAACAAATAGTGATTATATGCTATTGACAATAGTTAGTGAATATTACTGTCTCTTTTCTTTTGACAAACAACTAGTTAGTACGATACTGGTGTCTATTAACAATTCAGAATATATTTTTGTGAAATTTTTTCAGGAAATTATTTTGGTTTAGAAATATTTTCTAAGGTTTTCATTAAATTAAAATTCCGTTTTTAGTATTTTAATATTGAAGTGTTACTGAAATTTATTTTCTGTTGTGGAATTAATTTGTAATAAAAATTGTTTATTTTTATTTCCAAATAATTGGAAAAAAAATAAAAGTGATTTCTTATTCTTTTATTGTACAGAATTTAATTTTCTGTGTGGATTATTTTGTGTTTTAAATAAAATTTTATTTTAATTTTCATAATTAATTGGAAACTAAAAGTTATAATTCTTGTTTCTTTTATTTTTACAGAATTTTTAAATTCTGTTGTTTTTGGTTTTAAATTTTCTGTGTAGTATAAATTCAAATTTAAATTTTATTTTATAATTTAGAATTTATGGCTACTAAAACATGGTCAAACTAATGTTCAAAACCAGTACTGGATATGGTGTTTGCCATTACGCCAACCTCTCCTTATGTTGGGACTGTACCAGTGAAATAAATGAAAAGCCCAGAGAAGTTCTTAAGAACTGATTTGTTGCAAAGCAAAGGAAGAATAAGTAAAAGAAGGTTACTAAAGTCGATATAACCGAAATGGGAATAATTTCCAATGGTTGTAGAATGTCATAAATCTTTCTTGCAGTTGTTTCGAGGCAAATATCTTGTCGAAAATCCTTAAAGAATGGTGGCGTGGACACTTGGTGCTACTCGCTCATATTTGTGCCGACAAAAAGTGTTCACATCTATTCTTAGTGACCAATGGTGAACAACTTTTATAGACAACTCCTCAACTTCCTAAGTTGAAGGACAAGGAAAGATTGCACTCAAGATACATCTGGAAAGAACTCATCTCAACATGTGCTGCATGTTACCAGACATTCACAAGAATTTTAGTTTCCGATATTGTTGATAAGATGGGTTAGGCTAGTTTTTGAAAGGTGGACAAGTTGTACTTACCAAAAACAGGATGTATATAGGAAAAAGGTTACATGTCTGATGGCCCTTTTTCAAAATTAAATATAATGACCGTTGTACCCTTCAGTTATTAATAATACCACATCTTCTTTCTTACTTGCGTTGAGTCTTCAAATTTTATGGGCATGGTAGACTTAGGACATCTGTTAATTATGGATTCTTTGGGTAGATTAATTAATATGGAATGTTTAACCTAAAATTAACATTGATTCAAATCATAAAGTGAAGTTTGCGTTTGAGGCAAAATTATCTAAAACTCCTTTTCATTCGATTGACCAAAAAGTACGGAACCACTTGTTGAATAATTCATAGGTGGACCATTTGTGATTTTAAGGCAATTCAAAAACAAGAGGTCGGAAAAAGTATTTTTATCAGCTTTTATAGATAACTATACTAAGTATAGTTATGTTTATTTAATTTCAACCAAGGATGAGCCCTTTTGGGGAATTACTTTCACAATATAAGAATAAGTTGAAAATCAAGTTGGAAAGAAAATCAAGAAACTTAGAAGTGAGTAGAGGTGCGTTGAATATGAATCACCTTTTGGTGAATTTTGTAAAAAGAACATGAATATTCATCAAAACCACCGCCTCCTTTACTCACCTCAGCAAATGGAATTTGCTGAAAGGAAAAATAGGACTTTAAAAGAAATGATAAATATGCCGATGTTAATAAGTTTTGGATTACCTCAGGACTGTGTGGGGGAAGCCAATACTTTCTGCGTAATTATATACTTATAAAGTACCGCCGAAAGAAAGTGAATCAAACACTTTATTGAATTGTGGGCATGGAAGTAGTACCATCACAAATACTTAAAAGTGTGGGGTGTTTGGCTAAAGTGGCTATCTAGTCCTAAAACAGACTAAGATAGTCCTACGACCATGATACATTTTCAGTTGTTATGCCAAGAATAGTAGGTGCATATCGGTTTCTGGATGTCATAAAATCAGAGCATTCCAATGCATGTAAATACTACTATGAGTCTCGGAATGCCATCATTCTTTGACATGTATTTCCAAATAAAACTGGACAGAGGTACTAGTAATAATAAGAGATCTTTTGATACTATTTACTAGTAATGATCAAGAACAATGATCAAGAGCAAGAGTTAGACAAAATGAGGGAGAAAAGAACCGAGCGTAGTAAACGTGCTAGAACCTCAAAATCTTTGGTCCAGATTTCTAACATTTTTGTTAGAAAATGAGCCTTTAACTTTTAAAGAGGCTATGTCCAGATCCTGATTGCTCCTTTTATGGAAAGAAGCTTCAACAGTGAGTTGAATCATCTTGCAAAAATCACACTTGGAATTGCGTGAATTGACACCAGGTTGTAA